ACTAGTATGATATGATGTTCTGTTGGAGGTGTTCCTCTAGAGGTCAGCTTTGGTTCGAGGCCTGTTGCTCAGGACTCAGTACTTCGAGTTGGTAATTTCATTGCTCTGGGCTAGAGGAGAAAAGGGATGAGAGTAGTATTTGAGAAAAGCATGAAAATTGTGCCGTGCCTGTTCTCAGTGACATGTCAGGAAACTGAGAGGTAACAAGCCCATGTATGAACCCATGAGCAGAGCACATCTGCAGCCAGGATGCATGCAGAAATTTTCTTAAAAGACTGTTCCTTTTGGTAAATTCCCACTGTGGGTGGGATTCAACTGCTTGAACAAGTATTAGAGCAATTTTTAAAATGCCTTTTGAGGATCCCACCAGGGTCTGGGAAAGCATTCATCTTCTGTAGGTTCAGCATCCTGTCCAGCAGTTCCACAATTCTTGGATGTCATATTGCATCTGAAGTGGCACTGCACTCCGGTATTTTGTCAAACAAATGCACTTAGTTACAAAGTTCTTCAGGTGCTTTTCCTGCCAGACTTTTTTTTTCAGTTAATAGACTCATGTATCCTTTATCTAGTATGAACTCCTGCTCTTCTGACACCAGCTTACAGGAACATATGCTTGTGTTGTGTCACAAGGCAGACACACTAAGGAGTTACGGTTACGGGTATCAGCTGAAGCTTTTGAAGTTTGTCTCAGTGCACTGATTGCAAGAGGCTTTACTCTGTGTTGCCTTGTTTTGCTTGGCAGTAACCAGTACGGAGGGTGAAACGTAGAAGGGTTCATTCAGTAGTGATCCTGCTTAATTAGGGGAGAGACAATATTAACGGAAATATACTCTCTGTGTGGCTGCAGCTTTTTCCACTGAACAGCCCTTTGATAGTATGGCTGAACAAATGGTGTCAGGGCTTCTTTGCAGCAGACTTGAGTACGAAGCTGGTCTTTGCCAGCTGGTCACTAGAAACTTTTACAGCAGCTAGAAGCTGGGAGTTGTCAGGCTGCTTAAAGTTTAGTTTTAAGAGCAACAAACAGCTTTGTACCACTCCCAAAATAAGCATGGGAAAGGGGGTTACTTGTGCTACAGTGTTTTGCTGCAGCTGTTTCCAAGTTTGGAATAAAGATTTATGTTGCCCTTTTCAGCCATAATCCACTAGCCCGCTAGCAGCGAGTTGTAGCTCCTCTTGACGTTCATAACCACCCTGCTGCTGCCTGGAGCATGTTTCCTTAATTCATCCCATTAACTAGTCAATTTATGGACAAGTTCGTGTCAGTTGGATGCAGTTAAGTTTGAATCTGAAGCACCCAGTTTGATGATACTACGTTTCTGAAATCTGAAACGCTCTCTTTTTGTTAGACTCATCTGTGAAAAGTGGCAGTTCCTTGGGACGACCCACTGTGGAGAACTCCAGTGAGTCAGAAGCAGAGGAGAGAGGAGATCTGATTAAATTTTACAACGCAGTCTATGTAGGAAGAGTAAAATCATTTGCACTGAAGTACGATATCATGAACCAGGATCATGTAGTAAGTAAAGTATTTTGGAATTTTGTTCTATCTAATAATGAGACACAGAATCATTTTCCTGCCAGTTACATGTATGTGAATAATTTTGTTCTGTTATTCACCTGGTGGGGTTACAGAAGTCAAATAGTTGTAGGTAGTGGTACGAGGCCTTGCTCTGACAGCCTTTCAGGAGAACAAATGCAGGTGCAGATCAGTTTAAAGCCCTGGTTTCAGCTTCTTTGTATTGATGGAACACCCATTTGCTCCAATGCCTGTGGAGCATCTGTGTAACACATCTGGAAAGTAAATTTGTTCAATTGTTTGGTGGATACTTGATCTGTTGTTTAACTGTTAGGGGATAAAAATCTTTAGAAGACTTGGAAGTGTATTAATCTTCCCTTCTGTGAAGTTACTGCTCTTAAATACCTTCCTATTCAGCTCCTATCCAAATTTCTCCTCTCTTGCAGGTGGAAGCCCCTCCCTTGTCTCCGTTCCCCAACATTAAGCAACAGGCAGTGTCTCCTCGACGGATCTCTCAACAGCACTCTGTTTATGTTTCGCCTCACAAGAACGGTGCCTGCTTGACACCTCGAAGTGCACTCCTGTATAAATTCAATGGGAGCCCTTCCAAGGTAGAAAGCAAAAAGGTTGAAAGGGGACAATTGGAGAGAGGATTACTTAATCTCCTAATTAGGATGTGTTCTTATGCAGTGAGGTTTCATTGAACTAGTCTCTCAGTTTGCAGTGAAGGGTAGAATTCATTGTGTAGAATCCATCACTTGCTCAGAGAGGTTCAGAATAACTTTATGTTCGCAGGTAACAGAAAACCAGAGCAAGTTTGAAATGGAGTCGTAATAACTTGTGATTTTTTTTTTTTGTCTTGATTGCAGAGTTTGAAGGACATCAACAACATGATAAAACAAGGTGAACACAGGAGTAAGAAGCGAGCAATAACAATTGATAGTGACAATGAATCCCCTACAAAGCGACTCTGCCAGGAAAATGATGACGTTCTACTCAAACGTCTCCAGGATGTTGTCAGTGAAAGAGCAAATCATTAAAACTGCCTGTTTCCTGTGGGATCTAAAAGCTATGGAGTTGGATACAGCTATTGCGCTATTTATTTCTTGCCTTTGTATACAGACAACTGACACGTTTCTGTAGCACTGAACTTTTACCCGACTTCCACAGGATGCAGAAAGCAAAGGTTAAGTAGTAAACGCCAGAGAATAAGAGGTGGTGATGATCTTTGTTTCCAAAGGCCACGCTGTGCTATGAGTTACTGTGTTGGAGGTGTTTTCGCAAAAGAGTGATCTGTAGAAAGCCATAGTGGATGTTCTCAACCCTAATTTAGAGCATTGTGAGTTCCGAGTGTAACTCAGCTTCTAGTAATACTGGTTTTATTGTTGGAATAAGAATGATAAGGAAATGAGTGAAGTCAGTTAAGTTTCCTCAAGCTTTTGGTATTTTGGGAAGAAACTTTAAAAGTGCCTTATTTCAAAAGAATGTGGAATTTTATATATAATTTTACTGTGGAGCAACTGGAGTGGAGAACAAACTGACCATTTAGCCTCAGGAAGAGCTGAACAGTTTTGAACTGTCTGATTTGTGCTGTGCTCCATGTCCTGTCAGAACTTCAGTGAAAACATACATTATGACAGGGATCAGACAGCTTTTGCAATAACAAGGGCAATGATCAAAAAGTACAAATAGCAGTGACTTCAGTTGGACACTGACCTCTGATAAAGTACTGAAATATGGCTCAGGGAGTCTGAATTGCCTTTCTTTTGAGCCGGTGAATGCTGCCGCAGAGCTGCTCCTTTCTCTTTGGAAGCCTGATTGCAGCCCTGGTGTAGAAGCTGTTCATATGTACTGCAACTTACCATGAAGACGGTCACAGTTGGAAAACAGGAGGGGCTTTGGCCATCTTACAGCTGTTCCAATGCACAAATTCATTTAACAAATTGTATCGCTTCATTTTAGTTTTTCCTGAAGATCTAGCCTCTTGTGTAGTATCTACACTGAATGTAAGCCCAGCAGATAAGGCATGTTTGTATATATGGGGTTTTATAGCTATGAAGGGCTTGGATTTATTGGAAATGTGTAAATTCCAGCATCCAGTTCTTGTAACAAAGTTTTTTCAATGCCAAGGGATTTGGTAGGGTTTATTTTACCAAAATGGAGAGAAGTCAAGGTTTATTCATTACTGTAAATCAGTAGCTTGATTTTATTTCATAATTGCATTTAAGATTAGAGACATAGAGAAACTTCTCAGCACTGTATTTATGTGTATATTGAACAAAAAAAAAAAACCTGAATGATTACATAGGACTTGTTTAAGGAGCTCTGCTCACTTCATTGTTTGGATTCTTTAGTATATGCTGCAAAATCTGCTGTACCACAGTTCCAGGGAAGAACACTGTGATGATTTCAAGCAGTCTCAGCTAATGAATCTGGCCAGCAATGATGGAGGAAAAATGTGTTTAAAAGTGTACGTGCACAGGGACCCTACTCAGCAGTGAGTAGAAAGCTTACAAACTCCATAATTTGCTTAAGTACTCAAATATTTGAATTTTTTTTTTTACATTCAAACAAAGGTGCTTATTTCTGAAAGGTCTGAGCATAGAGAGCTGCAGTTTGAGGAAACAGTCATGCAATGGACTAGGTTTAATATAGGTTCTTTATTTCTTTTAATTCTATTCAATTTTTAATATTTGCCTTCAGATCCTGAGATAAAAAGTACAAGAGAAGCAATCTTTGGATCTGCTCGTCAGTGCTGTTACACCCATAACTGTTCAATGTACATACTCAAGTCCTAAAAGCCTCTGGTGTTGCGGCAGAAATGGGGGATCTTGATGCAGTTTTTGGCAGTCAGAGGATTGCAGCCTTTCTGGGTGGGAAACGTACAACCAGGCCTAACACCATGAGTCTGTCAGCAATATTGTATGAGGAGACTTGATTTGGTTTTAATTCAACATCATGTGCAGCTCTCTCCTCGTGTGTCTGCTTACCACACGGTTCCTGTGTTCTCTGAAACTGAAGGAAACTGATGGTGCTAAAATCCTGAGTAGTTGTCATTAGGTGTAGTCTTTTTTCATTAGAAAAAGAAATGTACTGGATTCAGTTCAGATTTTTTCACCTTTTTAGGTGATAATAGAAAAATATTTTTGGACTTGTTGAACAGCTAAAACAATAGCTTATAAGAAATTTTTTTAACAGTTTCAAAGTGCCTTCACATGTAAATATGTATTTTATAATAAACAACTAAAAAGTATTTCAACCTGTGTTGCTGGATTTCCTGTGGTCTTTCTGTGGTAATTCATTAACCAATGTGCTCTGTTTGCATTTTCTGTAAGACCTTCATCACCTTTATGCTCCCTCAAATTTCTTTGGGATTTTTTCGGTTTAAACTCATCTTTCAAGTGATCTGTCCGAAGTTTCCTCCTGAGGTTTCTGTACTTCAGTACGATGCAGTTTCTGGGAGGAGAAAGTGAGTAATGCATTACATGAAGCAACTGGAAAACACTGGAAAGGAGAAGATCCTGCAGCAGCAGGTGACGCACCCACGGAGGGAGGTGTGACTCTGGCAGAGGTGAGCTGTTAGACTCCCGGGGGCTCCTAGTCCCTGTCCTCCCTGACCTGCAGTGTGCGGTCCTGGCCGCCTCCCCCCAGTGTGCAGGTGTGTTCGCAGCCAGCTCCGGGCAGGTTCAGATCTGTGCCAGCTGGCTTCATGCTGGTTTTACCGCTACAGGTAAGCATAAGGCTGGAACAAACTCAGAGCTTTTTAAATAGCCCTCTTGTGCGTCTGCTCTAGGGGGTAAAAAACATTGGCCAATTTGTGCAGATTCAGTTGTGATGACTTTTTTTACACCAGAGCTTTTGTTTTAAAAGACGCTTAAACCCAAAGGGATGGTGAGTGGCATAGCCTTGAAAACGTGGCTGGCTTTCCTCTTTGTAAACTCCCTTTTGCAAATAAGACTGCCAGTGAGGGGAAAGCATCACAGGCAGTGATGAAATAAGTCAATTGTATCCAAGTCTTGCAAA